CATTCGATACAATGTAATTGACAACACGCTACTTCAGTATTATCAATGTCATTAATTCAGTCACAGTAAATAATGTCGTGCTTCTTGGATCACCAAAATACTGCTGTGCTGTAGCGTGACTCCATCGTGAGTTACGACATGTACACCTTGTGACTCGTCTCACTTGTCGTCCTACAGCATCATCAGCGCCTTCATCTCACAGCTGTTTATACACGCAACAGCGTGTACCACATCAAAGAGAACTCCATTATTAGTGACAATCAAAACCAAGCCTAAAATTCTCCTTACTTTCATCTGACCAAATCCACAGGACAAATTTTAGCAGATTGGTTTTAAGAATTTCTGCATGAATGCTTTAATAAAGATTACAGCTCATTTCTTCATTGTTTCCTTTGAAGATGCCAGGCTTCTGCGGCTACAGTATAAGACCACAGTTCCGCTAAATTGGTGAAATCCTCTCTCTTCCTCTCTGGTTGTCATGACAATTAAAGAAAACATGGAGACAGTTGTATCATTAAGATGGATTCATGTGTGGCTTGTCAATTGGGGATTAGTCGACAGTCTTTATCTCAAGTTAATGCAGTTTTAGTTTGTACGTAAAAACGTGCAGCGATGTGAATGTGTCATTACGGAACAATGTGCTCCGTGGCTCCTCTCTCCTGCTGTAGAAACTCTGCCATTGCTTCCAGTCTTACTTTCCCCATGCAGTGAGAGCATATTAGATGAATGTATAAATGTTCATCCAAAGATGTAATGATTTTCAAACTGCATTACTATATTTAATCAATTTTGCTATGCAAACAAAATGATTGAGATGTAGAAAAATTGATTTTGCAATTAAAATGTGATCAACTTTGACAACAAAATCTTATTTATAAGGCAGTTGCATTTGTACAAGCGTATCAGTGACTTGGAGATTAGGTTTCACATTATCTGCAATTGTTGAATTGTGTGAGTGGATTCCACGCTGACCGACAAAGCACAAGGTTTGCAGCTAACAAGGATGGAGGATTACGTCTGTGCTCCATGTGACAAGAACACAGCCAAGTGGGCCTGACAGACAGTGAAAATAACACTTGTATTAAGTACAGAGTGGTTTGATTTTCATGACTGACTGGTCATTGTTAAAGTTCACAATTATGTGTGATTTGGTTGGTTGGCCAGGTGTCACATGGCCTTTGATGTGTGCTGACCACTTCAATTTGGGAGAGGTCAATTGTGGTTTAACACTGGACGTCTCAATCTGCAATAAAAACATTTGGTGCTGTTAGGGAATATTTGACTGTGAAATAAGATTTTAAGAGTGAATACCATCCATGAATGTTCTCAGTGACCTTTAGAATCTATCACTTAAACTGAGGTTTCAATTTCAATTTATGGGAATGTTTAATGCATATAATCTCTTTAAGTTTTACATGCAAAGGTATGCAAATTGCCTCCATAAAACCAGTTACATGATCAGGGAATTAGATTCAAGTAAAAATGAGAAATCTTTTTTTCTATTACCATTAAGTATACATGTTTAGTGCTTCCAACTTCTGTGTTTCCATTCTGTCAGTTTCCCTGTTGAGTCCATGTGTTAATTATCTGCGTTGTCTGTTCATGACAACTGTAGGGATGTAGCAAACATTAGCATATGCTGGAGCATCGTGGAAGAAACTTTATTACTTGCCCGTGGAAGATACTGCAGTGTAATATCTTTATGGCAATATTACACTAGTGTAATACCGCTAGACATGACGTCATAATGGTTACAGTTATGACACAATGCTAGTACCTCTGTCACAATGGAATTATACCTTGCTTGACTCGTAGAAGGCTGAGAGTCATCACACTTCGTAGTTTTTTTCTTATCAGTTTATGTTGGAGAGTAATAAACAGAATACTAAACTCGCTTCCGTGAAATACCATTTTTATTAAACTCGTGAAAGATTTAGCATCAAACTCGCTTTCGCTCATTTGATACCAAATCATTAACTCGTTTAATAAAAATGGTATTACACGGAAGGTCGTTTAGTATCCTCTATGTATCACTGTACCATTTAGCCCCCGGTAGAATCCATTAAAGACTGTGGTATGACTTTGCAATCTGTGACATAACATGAGGTGATCTACTGCCTGAAATGTAGAATACTTCATCACGATGTGGAGCAAACTCTTGAATGAAGTAAACTTTTGCACATGGTGTAACAAACTGTGTGTTAGAAACTGTCAGAGGTGGCTAAAGGTATCGATTGAAATATCATCATCGGACATATCATTGGTGGCAAGCATTATTATCAAATATTGATTGGAAATTGTTTTTTCAATAATCACTTGCAGACAGTATTGTGATGAAAGTTTCAATTTACGCAGACAACTGCGTCTTTATTCTTGGTCCATTTCTAAATAATATTCAGAAATCTGATGTTATTTGCAATCAATGGCTAAAAGTGGTATCCCAAACCAATGACGTGATTCTTTCAGTCCTATTCAGGCTTTCTGCTCAATGTTACTCCTGCTGATGTTTATTGATAATCGATCAATATTCAGTAAATGATTATATATCTCCATGATCTGTATCAATAGACAGCCCTTGAAACTAATGTTGTGGCACAAAGGTTTGCAACCTGTGACTCAACATAATCTCAGTGTCCCCCAGTGCCACCGGGTAACCTTGTTGTCTCTGTACATAATCTCAGTGTCCCCCAGTGCCACTTGGTAACCTTGCTGTCTCTGTACATAATCTCAGTGTCCCCCAGTGCCACTTGGTAACCTTGTTGTCTCTGTACATAATCTCAGTGACCCCCAGTGCCACTTGGTAACCTTGTTGCCTCTGTACATAATCTCAGTGTCCCCCAGTGCCACTTGGTAACCTTGCTGTCTCTGTACATAATCTCAGTGTCCCCCAGTGCCACTTGGTAACCTTGCTGTCTCTGTACATAATCTCAGTGTCCCCCAGTGCCACTTGGTAACCTTGTTGTCTCTGTACATAATCTCAGTGTCCCCAGTGCCACTTGGTAACCTTTGTTGTCCCTGTACATAATCTCAGTGTCCCCAGTGCCACTTGGTAACCTTGCTGTCTCTGTACATAATCTCAGTGTCCCCCAGTGCCACTTGGTAACCTTGTTGTCTCTGTACATAATCTCAGTGTCCCCCAGTGCCACTTGGTAACCTTGCTGTCTCTGTACATAATCTCAGTGTCCCTCAGTGCCACTTGGTAACCTTGCTGTCTCTGTACATAATCTCAGTGTCCCCCAGTGCCACTTGGTAACCTTGCTGTCTCTGTACATAATCTCAGTGTCCCCCAGTGCCACTTGGTAACCTTGCTGTCTCTGTACATAATCTCAGTGTCCCCCAGTGCCACTTGGTAACCTTGTTGTCTCTGTACATAATCTCAGTGTCTCCCAGTGCCACTTGGTAACCTTGCTGTCTCTGTACATAATCTCAGTGTCCCCCAGTGCCACTTGGTAACCTTGCTGTCTCTGTAAATAATCTCAGTGTCCCCCAGTGCCACTTGGTAACCTTGCTGTCTCTGTACATAATCTCAGTGTCCCCCAGTGCCACTTGGTAACCTTGTTGTCTCTGTACATAATCTCAGTGTCCCCCAGTGCCACTTGGTAACCTTGTTGTCTCTGTACATAATCTTAGTGTCCCCCAGTGCCACTTGGTAACCTTGCTGTCTCTGTACATAATCTCGGTGTCCCCCAGTGCCACTTGGTAACCTTTGTTGTCTCTGTACATAATCTCAGTGTCCCCCAGTGCCACTTGGTAACCTTGTTGTCTCTGTACATAATCTCAGTGTCCCCCAGTGCCACTTGGTAACCTTGTTGTCTCTGTACATAATCTTAGTGTCCCCCAGTGCCACTTGGTAACCTTGCTGTCTCTGTACATAATCTCGGTGTCCCCCAGTGCCACTTGGTAACCTTGTTGTCTCTGTACATAATCTCGGTGTCCCCCAGTGCCACTTGGTAACCTTGTTGTCTCTGTACATAATCTCAGTGTCCCCCAGTGCCACTTGGTAACCTTGTTGTCTCTGTACTTAATCTCAGTGTCCCCCAGTGCCACTTGGTAACCTTGCTGTCTCTGTACATAATCTCAGTGTCCCCCAGTGCCACTTGGTAACCTTGCTGTCTCTGTACATAATCTCAGTGTCCCCCAGTGCCACTTGGTAACCTTGTTGTCTCTGTACATAATCTCAGTGTCCCCCAGTGCCACTTGGTAACCTTGCTGTCTCTGTACATAATCTCAGTGTCCCCCAGTGCCACTTGGTAACCTTGCTGTCTCTGTACATAATCTCAGTGTCCCCTAGTGCCACTTGGTAACCTTGTTGTCCCTGTACATAATCTCAGTGTCCCCCAGTGCCACTTGGTAACCTTGTTGTCTCTGTACATAATCTCAGTGTCCCCCAGTGCCACTTGGTAACCTTGCTGTCTCTGTACATAATCTCAGTGTCCCCCAGTGCCACTTGGTAACCTTGTTGTCCCTGTACATAATCTCAGTGTCCCCCAGTGCCACTTGGTAACCTTGCTGTCTCTGTACATAATCTCAGTGTCCCCCAGTGCAAGGCAGTGGAAACATTCCTAAACCTGTGTTTTGTTTCACTTTACTATGAGGCAGTTAAATAATGCAAGGAAACAAACTTTACATCAGACAGGTAAAAACAGTAAACACTTAAAATATTGCTGATAAAGCAAAAAATATATATATATGGTTTTGATGCCAATAACAGGCAGAATTTCTGCCTCCTGCATGGCATGTGATTAGCTCGCTCTGCATATGTCCTTCATGTATTCTTCCCACCGTGATTTTTATTTTCTCACATTCTCTCATTTTCTCACTCTTACACTCTCTCACTCACTTCCTCTCACTCTCAGATTTTGTCCTCCTCTCTCATTCACTCTCTCATACATGCACCTTGGTGACATTAACTGGTAGCATGGCAGGTTATTCTGTAGTAGACACAGTTCTAGAGGCCTGAGTTCGTCTGAGATGTCATCACTGTTCTTGTTGTGTTACAGAGGAGATGTGGGGCTTCTACCTTGCAGCCTCCCTTGACGTCCTCACCACCGACACTGAGGACACACATGAGGACAAGGGGCACAAGGACGGGGGACATTCGGAGAAGCTGCACAAAGTAAGTGGAATATTTCACATGTAAAACTATGTAAGACTGAATGATATCACTTGAATGTTGACCTTGTGTGAACCTCTGTGAGAACAGGTCATGGCTTGTTGTAGGCGCCGACTGAAAGTGAGATGAGTTGTTGTGTTGGCTGACCGCCCCGTGCCGTGGATCATCACTCCCGGGTTCTGGTTAGCCTGACCATCATGTGATTAATAACAGCCCACTGTGACGCCCTGTCTTATAACTAAAGCATTATACCAAACAGCGTTAAACCCAATTCCCTCACTCCTACAATGATTGACACTCAGGCACAACGTATACTGAAGTCAGTATTTCGATTCCATGTTTGCTTATGTAGACATCGTCTAAATATGAGGCATCAAGTTCCCTCTTCAGAGGTCGTTTGAAGAAACAGTAGTCACACAGTCCATTTGATATCAAACTGCTGTATGAAGTGATCACATACGATTACTTCAGTTATAATGCCCATGGAGATTCTGATCGGATGTAAATTCACCCAGGAAATTATGCTGGTTGTTATCAGTATCTCCATTGTCGAACGTGGGGAGTTGATGTCATTGTGAACTGACTGTGGATTGGGAAGTCGAGCATGGGGAGTTGATGTCATTGTGAACTGACTGTGGATCGGGAAGTCGAGCATGGGGAGTTGATGTCATTTTGAACTGACTGTGGATCGGGAAGTCAAGCGTGGGGAGTTGATGTCATTGTGATCTGACTGTGGATCGGGAAGTCAAGCGTGGGGAGTTGATGTCATTGTGAACTGACTGTGGATCGGGAAGTCGAGCATGGGGAGTTGATGTCATTGTGAACTGACTGTGGATCGGGAAGTCGAGTGGGGAGTTGATGTCATTTTGAACTGACTGTGGATCGGGAAGTCAAGCGTGGGGAGTTGATGTCATTGTGAACTGACTGTGGATCGGAAGTCAAGCGTGGGAGTTGATGTCATTGTGATCTGACTGTGGATCGGGAAGTCGAAAGTTGTATGTCGGGGGAGTTGATGTCATTGTGAACTGACTGTGGATCGAGAAGTCGAGCGTGGGGAGTTGATGTCATTGTGATCTGACTGTGGATCGGGAAGTCGAGCGTGGGGAGTTGATGTCATTGTGAACTGACTGTGGATCGGGAAGTCGTGCGTGGGGAGTTGATGTCATTGTGACCTGACTGTGGATCGGGAAGTCGAGCATGGGGAGTTGATGTCATTGTGACCTGACTGTGGATCGTAGCTCACAACATCAATCACTGGATTATGTGGACAAGTTTCAGCTATTTCTAGGCCTCCAACATGTGAAGTTTATTGTGTGACTTCTCTGAGGTGTCTGGCATGTGTCTGTGTGTGTTGTACATGTGTCCCCTGTGTCGTGTGTCCCCTGTGTCTTGTGTCCCCTGATGTGTCTCATAGATGTGTCTGTGAGTTCTGGCATGTGCCACCCAATGCTTGTCTGGTAGATGTTCCTTAAGTCTGTCATGTGTCATGTGTCCCCTGATGTGTCTTGTAGATGTGTGTTTGAGGTCTTCCATGTGTCATGTGTCCCCTGATGTGTCTTGAAGATGTGTTTAAGGTCTGCCTTGTGTACATTTGTCTTTTACAGCGTGTGTGTTGTACATTAAGTTTTGGGTTTGCCATATGGCATTTGTCTCTTCAGCATTGTAGTTGAAGGCAGAAAGTTGTCTGGAAGTATTATGTCATTGCTTCTTGACCCTCGAATGGATGGACACATCAACATCTGGTGGCATTCCTTTGGGCAGCAATCTGTCCGGTTTGGCATCAGGTGTATCGCCATCATTAGCCTCTGATCGCCAATATGTATTGTTTGGGTGGAGTACATCCTTCCCAGTCTCAAGTGAGCTGGGTCATATTGACTGATGGGGTATCCAACAAGAGAGATTTGCCTCACTTGAAACCCAAACCCTCTTGACATGAAGCACTTGTCACTTGTCTGATAGTCTTACAGGCTGAAAAATCCCTCTACTGAGTAAAGCAGGATTGATTGCAGGTTTTGACCTTAGCCTAATTTGTTCCTATGACAAGTGGTTGCTCTTTGCTGAGTGCTTTGTGTCCTTCAGTTGAGAGAGGAGATTGGCTTTGTTTGCCAACGTCATTGTGATGGGCAGCCTACACGATATGGGATACTTCCGTTGCTGCTACTGCTGTTGCTGCTGCTGCTGTTTTAAAGGGCCATGGAGCCTCAGTAGTGTTGGGTACCCCAGGGGTTGCTAAAGGAACACTGCAGCCCTTCTTGCCGTGAGAGGTGACATAATGGGTCAGATTTGGTGACATGTTACATAACATTTCAGTGTGTGGGCAGGTGGGGTAGCCTAGTGGTTAAAGCATTCACTTGTCGCACTGAAGACCTGGGTTCGATTCCCCACATGGGTACAATGTGTGAAACCCATTTCTGGTGTCCCACACCGTAATATTGCTGGAATATTGCTAAAAGTAGCATAAAACCAAACTCACTCACTCACATTTCAGTGTACCATGATTGCATGGATTGTTCCTTAAAATAGCTGTCACTTTATTGTGGTATAGACTCAATGACAGGCTAGTTCCACATAGGTGGAATATTGTGTGGGGAATGAAATGAGGAAAGAAAGTGATGGGCACACTAACTCTTCCTGGTATTAAAGGTATTTACACTGAATAGAATGCTTGTTCTCTACCAGTGGTTAGAGTCTGTATGTGCCTTCATTATAGAGAGATTATGACCCCAACATTATGGGAGACAATTATGCCAACAAACATTACAGTGAGACAATGGCGCCAACATTACAGTGAGACAATGGTGCCAACATTACAGTGAGACAATGGTGCCAACATTACAGTGAAACAATGGTTCCAACATTGCAGTGTGACAATGGTGCCAACATTACAGTGAGACAATGGTGCCAACATTACAGTGTGACAATGGTGCCAACATTACAGTGAGACAATGGTGCCAACATTACAGTGAGACAATGGTGCCAACATTACAGTGAGACAATGGTGCCAACATTACAGTGAGACAATGGTGCCAACATTACAGTGAGACAATGGTGCCAACATTACAGTGAGAGGTGGTGCCAACATTACAGTGAGACAATGGTGCCAACATTACAGTGAGAGGTGGTGCCAACATTATAGGGAGAGGTGGTGCCAACATTACAGTGAGACAATGGTGCCAACATTACAGTGAGACAATGGTGCCAACATTACAGTGAGACAATGGTGCCAACATTACAGTGAGACAATGGTGCCAACATTACAGTGAGAGGTGGTGCCAACATTACAGTGAGACAATGGTGCCAACATTACAGTGAGAGGTGGTGCCAACATTATAGGGAGAGGTGGTGCCAACATTACAGTGAGACAATGGTGCCAACATTACAGTGAGAGGTGGTGCCAACATTATAGGGAGACATTGGCGACAGCCTTGTAGGGAAACTATGCTTCGCTATGAAAAAACTGAGATATTAAATAATAATAATGCTAAGTTTTACGCCTAGAATCCAGCAGCGACGCTGTTCTCTGGCGTTACATTATTACCCTGACGGAATTGTACTTTCAAAGTTGCTACTAAGTGTTTCTCGCGACCGTATAGGTCCGTACATCCGCTTCCCTGGTACCCATTTTAAACAGCTGGGTGGACTGAGTGCAATGTGGACGAAGTGCCTTGCCCAGGGACACAACACAGTATGAGACCCAGATCACAAATTTTGGTATCTCCACCAGGATTCGAACTCGGGCCTTTGGCGTGAGAGGCCAGCATGCTTACCACTACACCACTGTGCTCCACATATTGTGTCTGTCATTAAAGTATTCATTTCATATACATAATATATAACCAAAAGTAGGTTTTAATGACTTGCATTCAGCTTGCTGGAACTGGAGGGCATCGTGGCCATAGACACATGGCCTCCTTTCAGCTGACACTTGGTGACACACCTGACCCACTCTAACTGCTGGTCACACAGTAGCACTCACCAGGAGGTGGAGGACACTCAGGTGTAAAGTACTACTTGTAGGTTCATATTTAGTTGAATTTGTATTGATTTTGTTTCTGGATTTGAGCAAACATTGTTTATGTTGCCATCTTCATGGTACAAGATTCAGCTAATTAGTCGGGACTGACCCTATCAAAGACTAGTTTACTTGTTCCTTTACACAGTTAGTGTTTGTCTGTCCATCATTCAGTCTGTCCCTCCATCCAACAGACCTTTGTCCAACACATCAGCAGATGACCAGTCTTAACAAAGGCAACAATGTAACAAATCGGGGATCACGCACTAACTGTTTGTCCAGGACTCTGTCACCTCAGTGTCACATGACCTTCCTCTCTGCTGGCCACCCGGCCACTCTCTCAGTTTACCCTTACCTCACCCCAGCTGTTTCCAGACGGCCAAATTACCCCACAGTGGACAGATGGCCGCTACATCAAACACAGCCCCGTCCCCTGCTACATGTTACAAGTGTCCACTGTGTGGAGGCTTGCTGTAAGCCAACACAGTCTGTTGTGTCTTTATGATCCCTGGCTCTTGTGTTGGCAGAACCTGACAAGGCTTAAAGATGACCCCACACAAATCTGGCGGACTAATTAGTGGCTGATAGGGAATTGTGACAGTCTCCTGATTGTGCTGTAAAGCTTGCAAGCCTTTGTGTGATGGTGTTGGCAAAGAGCATGGAGGGCATAGAGATACAGAGGGGAGGGATTCGTGTTAATCCAGGGATAGAAATGGTACACACAGGGCACCTGCCTGCAGTCATGGTGTAGCTCTCCTGCATCCATGTACAGAGATGATAGACCCAGGGATAGAAATGGTACACACAGGGGGCACCTGCCTGCAGTCATGGTGTAGCTCTCCTGCATCCAGGTACAGAGATGATAGACCCAGAGATAGAAATGGTACACACAGGGGGCACCTGCCTGCAGTCATGATGTAGCCCTCATGCATCCAGGTACAGAGATGATAGACCCAGAGATAGAAATGGTACACACAGGGGGTACCTGCCTGCAGTCATGGTGTAGCTCTCCTGCATCCAGGTACAGAGATGATAGACCCAGGGATAGAAATGGTACACACAGGGGGCACCTGCCTGCAGTCATGGTGTAGCTCTCCTGCATCCAGGTACAGAGATGATTGACCCAGGGATAGAAATGGTACACACAGGGGGCACCTGCCTGCAGTCATGGTGTAGCTCTCCTGCATCCAGGTACAGAGATGATAGACCCAGAGATAGAAATGGTACACACAGGGGGCACCTGCCTGCAGTCATGATGTAGCCCTCCTGCATCCAGGTACAGAGATGATAGACCCAGGGATAGAAATGGTACACACAGGGGGCACCTGCCTGCAGTCATGGTGTAGCTCTCCTGCATCCAGGTACAGAGATGATAGACCCAGAGATAGAAATGGTACACACAGGGGGTACCTGCCTGCAGTCATGGTGTAGCTCTCCTGCATACAGGTACAGAGATGGTAGGGGGGCGGTGGGGTGGCCTAGCGGTTAACGCGTTCACTCGTCATGCCGAAGACCTCGGTTCGATTCCCCACATGGGTACAATGTGTGAAGCCCATTTCTGGTGTCGCCCGCCATGATATTGCTGGAATATTGCTAAAAGCGGCATAAACCCAAACTCACTCACTTACTCACTCACTCACAGAGATGGTAGACACAGGGAGGACCTGTCTGCAACCACTGTGTAGCTCTGATGGTGCTACACTCTTAGTGATGGACCAGTGTAAATTGACCCCTGTATGTCTAATAATGCTACACCCTTTACGATGACCGGTATGCACTGCCACCAAGCTCACTGATACATGAAGAGGTTTAAGGGGTTATCAGAGCTGTCTTAAGTCCATGTTGAAGTTTTAGACAGACATTGATATACATATTCTTAACACTGAATGTGTTCAGTCCTCCAAGATATCCTTATTTTCCTGCTAATGTTCTGTTGTCAGCCACCTTACTTTGCTTGAAATACCATAATCATCAGCTTTTCCATACTCTATAAATCTAACTGGGTGACTCTTGAAGCAGCTCGCATTGCAGGCAGCAACCACCTACCTATTGTAGTGGGCACGGACACATGGGTCTACACTTAATACCTCCTTACAGAGGGTTCATCCACATTGGGGAGTCCTTAATACTTTGTTTAACCTGATATTTAACCCTTGGACAGACAAAAGAGCTGAATGATATACTTTGTATCAGTGGAGGATTGGGGAGCTGTGATATAGTTGCTGACATGGGAACAACCCAGGTGGAATCAGAGCTGATTCAGTTACACAGATTGCCATCAGTGAGATACCCGAGTGATATGTCCCATGTCCCATGTCCCATGGCCGCTGTCCTGTAGTTGATATTGTTGACCTTCCTTGAAAGTCACGTAAGATAGCATCATATAAACAGATTGCGCCCGCTTCGTGGTGCACTCATACTGAGCGTCACGGGAAAGGTCCATTGAGACTGGCTGTATGAATGAATAATTCACACTAATGGCTAAATGGTCAGGTGTTTCTGTTTCAGAGGGCTCTGCGGACATTCCAGGTCTTCCACGATGCAGCTGAGCTTCAGATGGTCGAGGAGAAGTGGTTCTTGAAGTGGGTGAGTCCAGTTGCCTCCAGCAGGGCTTGCAACTCTTCGACACACTGAAGATAACCATCGTATCACCATGTTCACTGAGATAGGTCACAGTTGAGTTGTACAGACCACCACAGGAACACAGGACACACTGCTTGCAATAAAGATGAACTTATTGTGTATTGGATGATCAAAATGGCTTTGTATTGATTGTCCCCAGCACTCAATACTTGTAACACCAGTCTGTAGTTTTGCACAAAATGACCATCCATCGCTTATCGCCATTGTACACTTACAGTATTGATGAGTGCAACTTTAAAGAAGAAACAAACAAACAACAAAATACATTTTGTGTCTTGAGTTACCAAAAGAATATCCACAGACTGTTTTTGTCTATTATGTACAACATTGTGCAGAAGAAGCTGAGGTTGGTGACCATGATGACTGTGTCTACAGTGATGTATTGTTGCGTATACAATCTGTCTCCGACATGGTTGACAGAAAGACTGATGTTCTCAGCTTCATCAGTGTCTGATTGTTATAATATTAGATTCTGGAGACAGAGACCACATCTCTTGATCAATCAGTAGAAATTAAACTTGCTGCTTTATACTGTGTTAGGACTGCTGCCTTGGTCATCTCGGAGTCAGTATACTATGTGGGAATAGGGCCTCCAAGGTTAAAATGTGGCTTGGTATCTCAATAGGCCAGTACACTCACTCACTCACTCACTCACTCACTCATTACTCGCTCACTCACTCACTCACTCACTCACTCACTCACTCACTCACTCACTCTTGCATTGGATGTTAGACACCTAAACTGTGTCTAACACAATACCGAGAACCACCTCCATGGTCAGTGGTGTGAAACGTGGCACACACTGAGCCAGACCCTTACATCACACCAGTGAACATGGTTACACTACACTATCTGGCCTGTCTACACGCCACATTGTAAGGCAGCCATGTCAGCTTTTGTCTGTGCAGGAAATGGATACGGTTCAAGTGGAGAGACGTCAGTGTTTAGTTTAGAGCAGTGTAAACTAAACCCTGTGTTTATAATGTTTCTCACCTAGCTTGTTTCTTCTACATTAACCTCACAGCTATATATTGTATATCAGGTCATGTGACCAGGTGAGCTAACATCGGGGGATCCGTGCTCCAGATACTTTTGGAGCCTTTGAGTATTTTCTCTCATGCGTTCATTATCTTTTTACAGTTTGTCTTTGGGAATTCAATATACTCCTGCTACTTTACGTGTTACATATTTTGTGGTTTTGTGGTGATCCTGCACCAGACTGTAGCCCATGGCGGTGTTGGTTAGATGTTTTGCATCTACTTCCTTCAACAGGAGGTGTTGGTGGAGTTTTTGTCCATTATTCACTGCAGTAGACTTGATGCATGCTGGGCCTGCATGTGATCCGGGGATAAGATGAGAATAGAAATATGGGTATGCAATCAGAAAAAGCTGCCATGTATAATTACATGCAGTGTTGTCATTGCTTTTTGTACATGTACAGGAGTCCTGGAACACTAACTAGGGGATATTTTGGGTGCATTTTGTGGAGACACACAGTTTACTCTGGCTACTGGTGGATCTTGATAATTATTGTCAACTCGTGACTTTATCAACATCTTTGAATGTTGTCTTATGAATATTTCCCTCTGTGATACAGAGCTTTGTTCAGCTCACAAGTCCATAATGGCATTGCTTGTAGGAAACTCGGACACGGTGGATCACGCTTGTTGATTTGGTCGTCATTGTTCCACAGAGTGGTGTGTTGCTTACAATGTCAACCACTGATTAGTCCGCCCCAGAATGGATTATAACTCTCCCACTATGATATGGTTTGATTATTGCTGACCGAAGTATAAACTCCGAATGAAACAGATTTTACCAGACACCGATATTTGTTGTAGCCATTGATTATCATGGGCATCAGTTGCCTATATCTTCAATATCACTCACTCACTCAGTTTTACCAAACTGATCATGAACATTAAGAGCTTTCTCACAGAACATGTCACTGTAAGTATGCAATTGGTGAGTGAGTATCGTTTTACACCGCTTTTAGAAATATCACAGCGGGGGACACCAGAAATGTGCTTCACACATTGTACCCATGTGGGGAATCGAACCCGGGTCTTCAGCGTGAGGAGCGGATGCTTTATCCACTTGGCTACCCCACCGCCCCTGAAAGTATGCAAGGGCATCACTGTACAGTCATATCACTTGCTCAGATTTCTTTTAAGATCTTCAAGGGAAAATGGCGGTGTAAGTGGCACAGCTGCCTGTGATGTTACAATTTATTAACAGAGTTGCTTCCCCTTAAATGCCAGGATCTGCTGGTGATTAATTAACCCCAGAAATGCCTCAAGTCATCATTAGTCTGTCAGCATAGTGACCCTAAATGTTAAATATCTACAACCATCAGCTCTTTGAGACTTACGATGCTACGTGAACCAAGTTCCCATGATGTGTTGTGACTGCCGTCATGGTCTGCTGGATAGACTGTGTCTGAGTCGGGATCCTTAGTTGGAATTGCAAGCCCCAATTTCTAAAAACAAACTTGGATTGTCAACAGTCTCAAAACGAGGGTGACAAAAATTCTAACCTAGTTGTGTTCCTCAAAGATCAGTCAAACCTCAGCTGAGTTTTAACTGAGATATAATACAGTTCATTTGAGTCTGTGATCTCCTCAACTTCTAGAATGCCAATCAAAGAAGTCATATTGTTTGAGGCACCAATAAATCAGATTCTCACTCAGATTCTCATCCACTAAATGGTCATTCAGCAAAATAGTAAATTTCCTGTTAATGTGAATAGATATATTGTCTATTTTTTTACTAAAATTGTCCCAAGATTTGGTTTAGCTCAGCTCAAAATTTGTTGTTGAATTATAGCATCATGTTAACTTAAATAAACTATCAAACATTGTGAAATGATGAAATTCACTTAGGTTTGTTCCCGATATCAAAATGGCCACTCAACTCTAACCATGATGCAAAATCAAATGTAAATGTGGGAGGTAACTGTTAAGATCAGATGTGAACTTTGGCATTACAAATATATTATCTGTATAAAATGTCTTCTGTATACTGGGGGCGGTGGGGTAGCCTGGTGGTTAAAGTGTTGGCTCGTCACACAGAAGACCCGGGTTCGATTCCCCACATGGGTACCATGTGTGAAGCCCATTTTTGGTGTCCCCCACCATGATATTGCTGGAATATTGTTAAAAGCGGTGTTAAACCATACACACTCACTCTGTATGCTCATACAGACGTGCTGTGCAGCCCTTCTGGTTTGTGTGAGCCTCTGATGAATGCATTATCTGCCACAATAGGGTAAGTGGAAACACAATGTTCAGATGCAAGCATTAAAATCCCTGTTGCTTTAGGCTGCATTTTTTTTGTGTAAATAATATATTTTGCAAACGTTAAGGTGTAAATGATTAATGCTTCAATTGACATGTATGGCATGTAACCGCTTGGTGTCGCCTTACTTGATAACCTGCATGATAACCCAACCATGACGTCACGACACGTTCACACCTTGACGCCACACAATCTGGCCCCACTCTTGACATTGTGACTTTAACTGCGGAATAATTGTGCTTATTCTGCCATGATTGCTGCAGTGAGTTAACAGCAACATTCCATGTATACAGCTAATCACAAAGACACTTGCCGTCTTTCAATAATCACCAGTTATACATATACGATTACATTCCCAAAATACTTTGAGTTATATTTGCACCATAATGTACACACTTAAATGATTTCTTTTAAATCATTCATAGAAGACATTTCATTTGTGTTTGAACATTAATTTCTGGAGATAAGAGAAGCTGATTAAATCTAAAAAAGGAACGGTAACGCCTACTATTTGGTTGTGTCAGCGCTACTATCTGTGGGGCGGTTAGCGTGGCAACTGATAAGTGGCACCAGAGACTGGAACTCTGGCAGAGATTCCTGGAAGTATGAAGCATTTATCTGGCCCTCCACAGCATCTCTTCTGTGCTGATAACCAACATCCATGCTGTTTCCTCCTTAACTTATTATGCAATTAGTATAGGTGTTGGGGAGGGGGTTTGTTTGTTGCAGAGACTGGGATGTGGAGGTCTGGGATGGAGATAGGTGTCTCAGGGCAGGGAGGTCTGGGATAGTGATAGGTGTCTCAGGGCAGGGTAAGGCAGAGACTGGGTTGTGGAGGCCTGGGATGGTGATAGGTGTCTCAGGACAGGGAGGTCTGGGATGGTGATAGGTGTCTCAGGGCAGGGAGGTCTGGGATAGAGATAGGTGTCTCTGGGCAGGGTGAGGCAGAGACTGGGATGTGGAGGTCTGGGATGGAGATAGGTGTCTCAGGGCAGGGAGGTCTGGGATAGTGATAGGTGTCTCAGGGCAGGGTAAGGCAGAGACTGGCATGTGGAGGTCTGGGGTGGTGATAGGTGTCTCATGACAGGGAGGTCTGGGATGGTGATAGGTGTCTCAGGGCAGGGAGGTCTTGGATAGAGATAGGTGTCTCTGGGCAGGGTGAGGCAGAGACTGGGATGTGGAGGTCTGGGATGGTGATAGGTGTCTCAGAGAAGGGTGAGGCAGAGACCAGGATATGGGAGGTCGGGGATGGTGATAGGTGTCTCTGGGCAGGGTGGGACAGAGACTGGGATGTGGAGGTCTGGGATGGTGATAGGTGTCTCTGGGCAGGGTGAGGTCAGAGACTGGGATGTGGAGGTCTGGGATGGTGATAAGTGTCTCTGGGCAGGGTGAGGCAGAGACTGGGATGTGGGAGGTCTGGGATGGTGATAAGTGTCTCTGGGCAGGGTCAGGGCAGGGTGAGGCAGAGACTGGGATGTGGAGGTCTGGGATGGTGATAGGTGTCTCAGAGAAGACTGGGACTGGGAGGGCAGGGTGAGTTAGAGACTGGGATGTAGAGGTCTGGGATGGTGATAAAGTGTCTCAGGGCAGGGTGAGTTAGAGACTGGGATGTGGAGGTCTGGGAGGTCTGGGGATGGTGATAGGTGTCTCAGAACAGCAACAAACTATTGACTATGTGTGAATCTCTTAAAACAACTTTACAACCATGGCCAACACACATGTACCATTGATATGCAATTAATGCAACCTTATGTAATAGATAATATACATGTGATAGACACATCATTGATATACCCATGCTATACAGTTAGTGAAACCATGTGCTATAGTATATACAGTCGAGCACCGTTGTGTCGAACTCTGATAACTCGATATCTCGGTTGTCTCGATATAACATCTCAGTCCCGTTAAAATCCTTCACAATTTATCATTATTCAAGTTCTTTTAACTCGATGTGGATGTCTCGATATTTCGGATATCTCGATATAATTTCATGGTCCTAACAAGCAAAATTACCCTTTTAACTCGATATTCACCTACCTTTCATGGGCAAGGATCCTTCTGAACTGAGGTTGTTTCCACACATTTACACACGGTGCGGCATGAATCAAAGGGATGCGGTAGTGTAAACTAATTAAGGCTACAAATGTAATTGAGTTGATAAAACAACTGATAACAGGTTATAGTTTCGAATCAAAACATACTGAGAAGCGTTTTGTTTTCTTTCATAGTGAAATGTGATGATATTCCCAGGTCGGATGTCTCGAAGTTCGGATAACTCGATATTTTTTCTTGGGCCCAGGAATATCGAGACAACGACTGTATGTGCTACACACCTAGGGTATACCCATGCTATACAAGTATTACATATTTATCTGATAGATAAATTGCATGTTATCTGTGTTATATACAGCTAATATATACCAGTAATATACAAGTAATACAAGCATGTGGTAATGGATGTGTACCTCTACCTGTAGGTGGAGCTGCTGCTGACCTCGACAAAGATCGGCCAGGTTGAGGAGGTCCTGAAACAGGCCACGGACACATATCCGAGGTCCACTGGTCTTTGGTGCTTGCACCTCCAGGTTCTGATAGACAGACAGGAGAAACTGCCAACAATCCTCAGGGTGTTCAAGTCAGCCCGTGTTGCCGTCAAGGAAAAGGTAGGCATTAGTTCCCTAGGTGTACAGACTCTAGACAACTTCTATTTAGTTAATGCTCCTGTATTCTGGAATGTCGACTGTTTTATGACATGCTCCAGTTTGATGGAACATCAACTGTGGTATAACACCCACTCCAGTGTTATGGAACATCAACTGTGGTATAACACCCACTCCAGTGTGATGGAACATCAACTGTGGCATGACATGCTCCAGTGTGATGGAACATCAACTGTGGTATAACACCCACTCCAGTGTGATGGAACATCAACTGTGGTATGACATGCTCCAGTGTGGTGGAACATCAACTGTGGTATGACATGCTCCACTGTGATGGAACATCAACTGTGGTATGACATGATCCAGTGTGGTGGAACATCAACTGTGGTATAACACCCACTCCAGTGTGATGGAACATCAACTGTGGTATAACATGCTCCAGTGTGATGGAACATCAACTGTGGTATAACACCCACTCCAGTGTGATGGAACATCAACTGTGGTATGACATGCTCCAGTGTGGTGGAACATCAACTGTGGTATGACATGCTCCACTGTGATGGAACATCAACTGTGGTATGACATGCTCCACTGTGATGGAACATCAACTGTGGTATGACATGCTCCAGTGTGATGGAACATCAACTGTGGTATGACATGCTCCAGTGTGATGGAACATCAACTGTGGTATAACACCCACTCCAGTGTTATGGAACATCAACTGTGGTATAACACCCACTCCAGTGTGATGGAACATCAACTGTGGTATGACATGCTCCAGTGTGATGGAACATCAACTGTGGTATAACACCCACTCCAGTGTTATGGAACATCAACTGTGGTATAACACCCACTCCAGTGTGATGGAACATCAACTGTGGCATGACATGCTCCAGTGTGATGGAACATCAACTGTGGTATAACACCCACTCCAGTGTGATGGAACATCAACTGTGGTATAACATGCTCCAGTGTGATGGAACATCAACTGTGGTATAACATGCTCCAGTGTGATGGAACATCAACTGTAGTATAACACCCACTCCAGTGTGATGGAACATCAACTGTGGTATGACATGCTCCAGTGTGATGGAACATCAACTGTGGTATAACACCCACTCCAGTGTGATGGAACATCAACTGTGGTATGACATGCTCCAGTGTGATGGAACATCAACTGTGGTATAACACCCACTCCAGTGTGATGGAACATCAACTGTGGTATGACATGCTCCAGTGTGATGGAACATCAACTGTGGTATGACATGCTCCAGTGTGATGGAACATCAACTGTGGTATAACACCCACTCCAGTGTGATGGAACATCAACTGTGGTATGACATGCTCCAGTGTGATGGAACATCAACTGTGGTATAACATGCTCCAGTGTGATGGAACATCAACTGTGGTATAACACCCACTCCAGTGTGATGGAACATCAACTGTGGTATGACATGATCCAGTGTGATGGAACATCAACAGCGATTCAGGGTTTGGATCATAGATATATTTTATGCTGTATATTCTGTATATATGACCTAGACTTTCTATTGTGCATGTGATTTTGACAACCGATTCCTTCATATATAACAGTAATTAACCTGCCAAATGATGAAATTGATAAATTTGAACAGCACTGCTTGCGATTACATTAAACTATCAATGTCAGTGGCTCTACAAGGTCTGTAAACTTCTATGCTGATTTCTATTAAAGTAAGATGCATGCACGTTTTTGCTCTTTTCAGATATTGAGACAAATTTATAGAATGTATTATTTTTATTATTGATATGTAAGAGAAATATTGATTGTGGACGTTCTACGTGTTATGATAGGAGTACTGGTGGTATGACGACGTGCATGTCGGCAGTGTGGCTGGCCCCCGACTGCTGCTATATTCTGGTGTCCATTGCATGTCTCTAACGATAGTAGTTGAACGGCAGTGATTGACACACGAGTACTGCACCATGTCCGTGATATTGATCTCATCTGATTGGTCCTTCATCTGTCTGTTTGATGATTGGTCTCGAGGATACTAGCGATGTAAAGACTATTATCTGTCGAGAACCTGGGTCTGAACTGCAGTAGATGCTGTTCCCTGGCTCTGTCAGAAGGACCCGTCTTTGTCATGCTATTTATTATAAGTCGTATTCTTTCTCTACTGTTATTGATATTATGGGTGAGACATCCAGTGCAATTAAAGGCAGCAGTACATAAACACTCCATCATCAAATGAGTGACCAGAATAAACATGGCCGTGGCTGTGAGAGCAGCAGCGGGTTTGTCCTGGCGAGTGTAGGACAAAGTGCTGGCAGGACTGAGCTTAGAGACGAGTGTGTGCACCAGGAAGTGATCTCACACAACGCTTCTCCCTGCAGGTGTCACAACTAGCATGGATACTGTTCAATAAGAGGCTGCAAAGCAACTTAGCATTCCAGCAGCCCATTAAAGATGTGTCAAGATATATTGTTATTTTCTTTCCAAACACAGATGTATTTTCACAGTGCCTTTTGTTGTGGCCATATTGGACTGTCGTCTTTTAATATCCTACAAAAAAGGTTCTTTTTCATTATTTAGACGTGTTTATTTGAAAAATGGTAAACACCTATTTTTGTAAGAATTTCATATGATGATTTTTGGGTTCAATATTGATCAGAAAAATCCTTTTTAAGACTGATAGTATTTTGTTACTAATATTGCTTCTTTTTTTTGGCTGAGGTTATCAGTTGGTGCATGTAGTTCAAAGCGATAAACACATTCACGTTGGATGTCATGGCTGACAGTACAGTGTTAGACAGATGGGAGTGTATGGTGCAGTGTGATTGGCTGATAAACTTTGGTAATGGTGTTCAGAGTCTGGAAATATTTCACACATGTCACTGCATACAAATGCATTTCTTGATAAGTATCTTCAAATCCAATATTTGAAAAATGTGATATTTGTGAAATAGATACCTTTGGTGAAATAGATACACATTAATTAAATATTTAGTTTGATTATTAATCATCAAAGCCATTTGGATAGTGTTGAGGTTTTTCACATTGTGCTAATATACAAGGTCAGTGTCATGACATTCCAGAGTCACGTCATACCAAGACTGCCTCCGTGGTGTAGTTGTTAGAGCATCCACCTGGAGAGCGGAAGGTCCCGGGTTCGATCCCCGACCGCGTCATGCCAAAAGACGTTAAAATATGGTACTTGTTGGTCCCTGCCAGGGGCTTGGCATTAATGGGTACAACAAGGACTGGTCCGCTCGGAGTCAGTATAATGTGTCTGAGTGGGGTATTCATGTTTCACTGCGGCATGGTATCTCAGTGGGCTAGCACTATAAAACCAGCTTAAGTCTGGGCTAGTACAAGCAGGCCACACATACACACACACATGCACGTCGTCATATGAGCGAAATATTCTCCAGCACGACGTTAAACCCAATTTCACCTCACCTCACGTCATACCACAACTGTGAGAGTTTATGTAGAGAGAGAGACAATGACAGATAACGTGTATAATACCAAGACACTAAATATTGCATGTTTTCATCCTTACACTTTATGGTTCCAAATGACATTTCCGAGCATCCAGAACTCGGTAAAGCAGAAAACACACACAATGTTGGTCTCCTGCATCAGTTGACACGAAGAGTCCTGTCAGATGGAATACATGTGTGTCTGTTCTGGTAGACACCACCATCTTGTCACAACATCATGCTGTACCACCAGAAACATGTTTTAGTCTCTGTTGATATGTTTCATGTGCAGATCTCTATGGATATGGTGAATTAGAATAAGACTTTGTTCCTTTCAGCAGCGGATGTAGTGGACAACTGTATATGTGTAGGCTATGGCAAGAACATGTAAACTTGAGTTTCGGAAGACTGTCTTAAATGTTGTGAGAAACTGTTTTCCAATATTTGTACATGTCATGATGAGCAAGTCTTTTCCCCAGCTGATGTTTTAGGAGAGTACAAACATGTGGTTCTTGCTCAAAGCAAGAGATTCATCGTCTTTTTAACTCTTTTCAAGACATGTTTTTCTTCCAATTGATATTCAAGATTTGTATTTGTTCAAGAAGATCTGTCATCATCCCTCATGCTGTGGTATTATCTGACATGTATTTCATGGGATGTGACAGCGTGTGTTGTTAGTAGTTCACACAGTTATTGTACATGAGGGGTTAGTCACATCAACATGGCAGCCCACGTCTGCCAAGGCTAATTTATCCACCTTCAGCACCAGGAGACAAGATCACTGATCAGGAGGCTCCAGTAAGACTGATGTGTTTAGACAGAGTATATGTGTGAGTTTGGCTGTGTGATGTGTGTTCATAGTGAGATATAAGTCTGTCATGTGCTGGCTGGACAGCTGGACATCATCTGGCAATAGTCACGTCTCTAGGAGCTTACAGACGGTATCAGCTCAGCTCACTCAGGTCCTGGGAGGCCGATACGTTTCATATCCATTGATTCTTGTACTGTTTTGTCCAAATCTTTACAGGAATTTCTTAGGTGATAAAAAGATTTATTCCACGGACCATTTGTATGCTATTACTGTTGATATTTAATATGCAGCTTTTTGTCACAGTAACGCAGAATCAGTCTTAGCGCTGGTGGTTTATGAATGTTCATGTGTGCTTTCTTAGGCAGGGTGTAAATACCATGAGCCAAGTTCCTCTGATTACTGTCCCACTCTTTGTGCTCAAGTCCGTCCATCTAGCCTCAACTTGTGGCACAGCCAGTCTTAAGTGTCACCTGTGTTGACTGAGTCAACATACACTAGTAATATGTATGCAAAGATTGTGTGCATATAAATATTATCCTATCACTATAAATATGGATGTATAGGGGTGTAAGGCCAGCACTCCACAGCCATTGAAAGCCTGCGGGTGCTGGTCCTGTATATCATGTCAATATAGAAGGGCACCAATTGTCTGCTGGAGCAATCAAATAGAAGGCTGGTTGACGCCATATACATCGTTCCTGATCACTCATAAATGTAAACTTTTGCT